AAGGGCTTTGATGCCACTAGCCAGTCCCTGGTATGTCTGCAAACCATCGCTCTCCAAATGTCACACTTGAGGATTCTCTCGTCTTTTCATCATAGACCTGCAATGCTTTTGCTCATAGCCTGGTGTATCCTATATATGAGTACTACAGTATATTTTGGGTGTACGTACCTGTAACAGTGGATGATGATGGTTAGTAAAGGCCTTGTTCAAACATAGTGAATGAGTGATTGTTTACTGACTGTTGCAGGTGTATTGGAACAGAGCCAAACTAGATATTGAATATGAGTATCAGTATGATGCATCCATCAATCAGAACCTGAGTGTTGAACCCTGGGTTGTCAACTCTCCAGATGATCCTCAAAGAACTGATATCGAAAAGGTACACCCTATGGATCCACTGCCACCCTCTTTATGTAGGGGATCCAGTTCTATGTAGGGTCCAGTTTGGATATGGATCCACTTCGGGTCTCATGGATCCATTGTAGTGATCCTATCTAGCTTCTAGCTTCCGTTCATAGCTGCTAGCTACTAGCAGTAACCAGGAGCGCCCCTTACTAGTAGCTTCTTGCTCGAGTGGATTGCTTTCTATGTAGGCCAAGTGAGGGTCCAGTGAGGGTTCATGTAGGCCAAGGGAGGTACATGGATCCCGATCGTGCTGCGCGCTGTCCTAGAGCAGATCCAATCCAATACGAACCAAATCAATAGAACAGACCTCCAAAACAGATAGATAGATCATCCATTTCAGATAGATGCTGGCTTCAAGTGGTACAATTGCTGTGACTCATCGATTTCTATCCTCCAAAAGAAACAATCGACCAACTCTGACGAGACTTGTGTGTTTTTGTGTGTCGAGTGCAAGCAGGATTTTGATTGGGTGAATAGATTCTTCTATCGATCAAAGGGCTCTAGCAAAGAACAGCATACCCTGCACGTCCAGTCGGACACAGTAAAGGCGGTCCTTCATCTCATTGACTAGTGTTTTTGTATGGATCAACTCCAGTAACATGAGATCACTTCCTGACCTGTAGGTTTGCTCCCACCAGCAGCCAGCCCATGCAGCCACAGTTGGCAAGATGACGACGGGTGCGTTAACGAATTCTTGTCACGGTCGTTGTTACCAGGTGACCAGGCGTTGGCAGCAGGACATGAATGATCGTGTACAGTACGTAGACATCATGTAGGTGTCTATACCCAAACAGTCCATGTAACATGTATGGTATATTTGCCGATCAGTTGGGGTGGTTTGGTGGGTCTGTCTGGGGCGGCATATATGGCAGTCCCATGGAGTGTCTGGGATAGATGGATTGCTTGGGAGTCATATACATGTTGCCGGATGGAGCAATCCGAGGGACATTCGGCCTTGGCTCCTGGGACAGGAGGGCAAAACAAAACGGTGTGATGCACCGCCATGACAGACAAGCCAAAACGCACGCACCGCATGGTCCAGTGTTCAAGTCCTATGAGTCGTCCTTCATCTGGTCCAAAGCTTGTGATGGCTCAACTCCAGTGGTCCTTCCATCTGCGTTGGTCGGAGACCATCCGTAGTAACGGGTCGGACCGTCTCCATTGCGGAACACCGGAAATCGTTGGGAGCAAGGTGATGCTTACTACGGAAACCAGGGAGCAAATCAGAACATCTTCCCCAGGGGATTTGGGGATCCGGCCGGTTCCACGACAAATGAAGAAGAATCACCCGTTCTCCGCCAAGAAAAAGAACACGTAATGGTATATGAACCTTCAAAAGGTATCAAAAGGTGGAAAAAAAGACTGCGCACCACCACTGGATTTTGCCTGGAACCAGTAGATGCAGTAGAGCCAGTATCACTTCATTGATGATCAAACTGTATCATACGGTATCTACCCTCAGATGATGTTAAGTATTCCCCCCCCCCAAAAAAAGTGGTGTAACTAGCTCGACATAAAGACATATGCGTATGAAACATCAGTTGCTCTTTATGACGTATAAGGATCTGCCCCATTTTCTGGTGTACCATCAAAGGGGAACATGGTCACCGTATCTCAGTCTGCCTCTCCGTCCGATTTCCTCCACATCGCCTGGCTCAGTTCGTACGAGGGCGTCCACGACCGCGTCCGCCCGATGTGGTCAGTCATAGTGAGCCGTGATCCTCAGATCCTCACAAGTATCGACTGGGTTAAGCACCATAGGGAAAGGAATTGTAAAGCACCATAGGTTTCCTACTGTTTCCTGTTTGGAAATTGGCTAAGCACCGGTCAACAGCAATCATGACCGCTGGCGCGATATGGCAAAACACCTGCTCAGATGTCTGTTTCGGTCCAAGACCGGTCTTCGAACGCGGTGGTCGAACGACCCCGCGGTCATCGGTGGCCAAGTGAACCTGCAAACCCGTTTGTCGAACGACCTCCTCCGCTGAAGCGAACGACGTCGCGAACGACGGTGGTTGGTTCTAGAAGCGGTGACTGAAAGCGGAAGTGACTCATCGGGACGAAGCAGACATATTATTCCAGGTCATTTTTTAAAAATCTATTTCTGGAAAATTATTCCTGGGGGTTACCCGGACCATGGAATAATTATTTAAGGGACAGGCCATTATATATAGCCGTTTTTTTTATCCCCAAAGATCTCAAATATCTCCCATGCCTGGCATATATACCCAACATTTGGGTGGTTGATTTCAGGGGTCTTTCTCGGGCAGAAACTGTTTCATTCCAGTGTATCATCGGTCGTCTGGGTATGGGTGTGGCGTCATGGGAAATGAAAGCAACAGTACAACCAAAAAAAACCTGCAGTTGCAGTGATTTCCATGTGAAAAGCTGTTTGAATCTTTTTGATAACACCCATAGGGCAGTCCAACACTTCTTTTCTGGGCACACACCAATTCTACATCATGGTTGGTAACGACATGTTTTTATGTGTTAAAAGGAAGCACATTTGGAGTTCCTGAAATCCACGCTTCCAGTGTTGTCCTTGTTGAACACTTCAGGCCTGTAATTCGTTTGGATTCGTTTGGTAGATAACTTGATGAGATGTTTCAGATACGTTTGGAGACTGACAACAACTGAACAATGCAACCAACCACCCCGCGTTCCATTCTGTTTGGCCAGGTCTGTAGCATTTATGGCCTCACATGAGGTCGAATGGAACTGGAAATACTCCCTGTAGCTCTTTTGGTTCCCTGTAGCTACTAACCAGCAGAATACTGGCCATCCATGGCCATCAGCTATAGCCCTCAGCAGTGATCAACTCAGGATCCTCGGCTCATTACCTCTAGCCATTCGCTTCGCGTGTGACCCCACGCGCCATTGTGGCGCCTTCACCTGCTCTTCGTCTAAGGCCGAGCGTTCATCAGCTGTTTCACCTCCTTCTGAGCTAAAATAACAGCAAACGAGCCCTGGTTTGGCTGGCCGGCATGGTGCACCCAGGAAGTCGCTTCTTCAAACAAAACACATACTGGTGCCACAGTGCCGCACCAATGTTGTCTATATATACTATATAGGTGCTTGGGCTGAAACTATACATTGACCCCCCCCCCACCAGTTCTCTCTCTCTTGATTGCTTGTGCCGCCCCAAACGAACGCTTTGCCGATCCCCGCTTGTGCCGATCCTTCGCTCCTCTCACGCGGGCCGAAACATCTGCGGCATGATGGTCCTGGGTCTCGGGTCTCACGGGTCTCGGTCCAGGCGGGCGACTCCAACGGTTGGGCCGGTCACCTCCGGTTTCTGATCGCTGGCCGGCCAGGGCAGTTGGACCTCAAACTACTGGACGTTGATGATGAGAAGAAAAATAGAAAAACACTACTCAGGTCAAAAAAAAACCAAAAAAACAGGTTTTCACGCCTTTAGCCCTACAGGGATTGAGTGTCATTTCCGAAAAAAGTGGTTCTGTATATAGGACTCTGTACTTACCTTAAGAAGGGTCCAGGTGGGTCGGGTCGTTTCAGACTTGAGCATCCAGGTCGCATGACCGTCGCATGACCTCGTTTCAGACGGTGTGCCACGACGGTGTGCCAGGGTAGCCTCAAGGTGGCCTCAGGGACCAGGGATGCTCCGGGGTTCATCCGGTTCTCATGGGTCCATCCCAGAGGATCTGAGATGTTCTGAGCACCCAGGCCCCCCCCCTTCCTCTGTGTCAGGGATGTCTATATATATATTCATCAGTTCTGAACCGGTGACATTCGGTGTGTCCATGAACCCTCCGTGGATCCCTAGAACTCTCATTTGCCCGTCGCTGGACATCCCCGGTGGGCTCCTGGCCCACCTCCGTTTCGAAGGTGGGCCAGGAGTGGTGCCAAGAGGGTCGAATACCACCGAACCTGAGGATATGGGACGATCGGAGCCCTAGGGATCATTGGTGTCTATTCACAGCCCCTGAGTCAGGTGAGGCCCGGGTGAGGCTATCCAAACTCGCTGCCCAGGGGCGTCCTGTGCTGAACAACTCGACAGGCAACTGACCAAGTGTTGGGCCCCAAAACCATGAAACCATGACCCAGACTCGACCTGTCTGGGACTGCCATAGGACTGCCGCCCCATTGACCTCTCTGGCACCACCCCTGGCTCTCGGCAGTCCGGACTGGCAGTCCCAGACAGGTCGTGCCTGGGTTAGAAATCCATGCGAAACTCAGGTATGACGGTCCAGGACCATCCGGTTACCGGACGTCCTGAATGGTCCCAGTTTGACCATTCGAACAGGTTTCGCACGCACGAAAACCTCCGTTCGACCATCCGAAAAGGAGGTACCTGGACCCTGTAGGGATGCAGGGGATCTGTCTTTGTCTTGTCGTGCCACCCATGTCCGGTGCATTGCAATCGCAGGTGTTCCTGTTCTCAGACTGTTGGGTCATGCCACGAACGGATGAAAACACCAGTCAATTACTGTTTAAGTCGCACTGGTTCCTACAAAATGTCCCGGAAAGAAGTCCAAGATTGGCCAAACCTGCCTTCTCCCTTCTCCTCACCTTCGGCAGCGAAAACGGACCAATCCCGTGACTTGGCACCGTCTCCCGACTCTTCGCACGAGTCCTCACCTTAACCGGTTCGGCAGCGACAACGGATCCCGAACGGCACAGTAGGGCGTGTAAATCCTCATGCCCAGTCTCCTCAAAACCGAACGTGTTTGGGGCTCGGTGGATCGGATGATCAGTATCTCATTGCGTTGGTCGGTCGCGGCTTGCTTAGATCATATCATAGCTACCTAGAACCTGAGTGACCTCTATTTTGGACCACCAACCACTCAAAATAGGGTCTTTTCCTACCAAAACAGAGGTCAGATAGGTAGTTCTAGTATAGTAATTAGATAGATAAATTGTCCTTTCCCTCGTACAGGTTGCCTTGAATGCTTCTTGTGAAAACATGGTCGGCATTGAGGTCTTCCCCCGCTGACAGGATGACAGAACACAAATCTCCATCCGGAAATTCTGGAATCTGTCATAAGGGATCCAGCTGTTCTTTCATCCTCATTTTGCCACCGTCAGCACTACTTCGCTGATCCCCTGTTCCGCCGAAAGCGCCGAAAAACAAGAAAATGGAGCACCCAAGCAAGAGTGGCAAAGCAGCCACAAAAAAGAACAAAACAACCGGAACGAGCGAATTACAAACAACGGTTTGACGTTAAAAGCCATAAGAACTGGCTTCCAACAAATCTAAAGCCCCTTTGGCTTTTGGCAAACCTCCCAAGAAAAGAAACACTATTCATTTAGCCTGTTCTTTCAGTCTTCGCACGTGCGCGCGCGCGCGCACCCTTCGCAAGTTTCTATCCCAAACCAAGTCGCACGGCCGGCATTGGGGCGGGCATCGGCGACCTCTAGGGGTGCCACCATCTCGCTGGTCCAGGCAGCCGCGCGAAAAAACGCGAACGAAGGGGGAGGAACGGTGGAAAAAAAAACACACATCCACTGTATACGAAAAGCAGCAGGTTTTGCTCCTGCATTCCCCGAAGGCAACACCAAGTTTTGAAGCCAATATGACCGACCTTCACTACCCCAAAGCCCAAACTCAATGAACTCAATGTAGGGCACTATGTAAGTGGTCCCGCAGAGCCCACCTGCTTAAAACAAAGGGATCCCAGGACGACTTTGAGGCGTTCAAGACCCCATGCCAAACAGACTGCAACCTGGAAATCATTAGGAGCAAGGACGCTACGAACAGGGCTCCTGGCCTTACTACTAGGAGCAAGAAACTACTAGTAACAAAGGGCATCGCTACAAACGGAGTTCCAACCTGGAAGCAGCCAAATGTTTGAACAAGCATAGAAGCTGGATTTGCCACATCCAACATCGTCCAACTCTATGCTACTCCGAATTGTGGGGACTCTGGGATGGTCAGTGACGTTCTCCCCCTGCGAGCCCACGAACTCACACACGCTGACAGTGGATCTGACACCCGGAAACTCGACGCTTATGCATCACCTCACTTCAGTGCATGCCATATCCTCCCTCCAAAGGTTCATCACTTGAGGTGACATGCTTGCATCGAATGGTCCAAAGCTTGGTTTGCCCACGCAAAGAGCAGTCGGGAGCCCAAGAGCAAATCACGTTGAACAAAACACTCCACACCGGATGGGACAAGGGTCTGATTCTGAACTTTTGCTATCTTCCCTAGGGCTCCAACCATATCCTCAGGTTCGGTGGTATTCGACCCTGCTGGCACCCACCCAAAGCCGGCTTCTACTTGTGCCAGCGAGAGCGTTGGTTTCTGCAAATTTGGTCTTTCCGATACCAAGATCACTCCTTCCAGGAGTTCCAGGATTTGCCACCAAATCGCTGTGCAATGTGCTTCTCTCTTTTGGGACTCAGAACCGATCCGGTCTTGCAATTCCTGCCAATCCAAACCCATTGGCCAAATAGAAAGGTTGGACCCTCAAATCCCTATGGTTTTCGGGGACCAAGGCCTGTTTGAAGCATCGCAAATCGACTCCTCCAAACCGACTCGTGCTGTCGCGTGCCATCGCGTGCCTATAGCCACCTCCATTGTACACAGCTCCTGGCGCTCAACGTTTGCTCTTCAATCTCTAGGGACAGATGCGGGGGCAGGACAGAGGAAAGCGGCCCTCTTTGGGGTCTATGCTGCACATGGCAGGGCCAGCTCAAACCACGAAGCAAGAGCTGCTTAGAATTGAAGTGCTAGAATGTTCTCTTTATACAGATCTGGAAAACATGTTTGATTATGTTTGGACTTCGATTGGTAAGTCTGGGTCCTCATGACAATACCTTCGAGTGGTATGCCGACCACACCACTTTCCCACTTTCCAGTGGTTGCCAAGCGCCTATGACTTCAAATTCGGTGGATCCACCTCCCAGCCGGTTGAGATAGTCACCTACCCCCAAGCGTTTGATCATTGATCCCAGCACCTATCTGCAAATAAAGTAACTTTCAGTACAAACATGTGCAGACTGGGTTTTGAATTTCACGGCCACTTCACTGCCACCTTGCTCAAGTTGTTGGCATTTCTGACCTGTCCGGCAGTTCCTCTTGGTGAGCCACATTCACACAAAAGGACACCCTCCACCTGACCCTTCCAAAAATGTGGCCCACTCTGGTGATTCTGGTGTTATGGCCCTGAGGTTTCACGCCTCCTCCGTCCCCGACTCCCACCCCCCTCCGCCAGTGCTTTCGCGCCTTGAAAGTGCTGCACCTGATGCGGAGGGTCCGTGACCGGCGGTGTGGCGTCCGGGGGTGGAGCACCCATCCCTACCAAATCATTGGTCAAAAAGGCTGCTGAGAATCATACTATGTCCATTTATGTCCTCCATCGTAGTCTTGGAGGACATATTTTGACCTCCTGACCTCTCTTGGTCAAGGGATCCACAAGATGTAGGCGGTTTTGGAGGGTCAAAACGTACCTTCTAACAACATATGTATAATGTGGATCTCTTGGGAATGGAGCGCCGTTAAGATGCCATGCTTCCAATGAAAGCTTCGCTGAAGGCTTTACTGTCAATGATGAAAAGCACACAGTCGTCCGGTATGATCAACTGCAATGATCGAAAACGAGGTCAGTTCCCGACCAGTACGGATGGATTCACATCGCGGCTGAGATGGTCGTGATTTGCTACTTCTACCCTGAGTCACGGGATCATGTGGGTGACCTAAAGCACCACCTGACCTAGAGAACGGTATTGAACCCGTAACCTACAAAAGCTGCTGCGCCTGAGCATTCAAATCCAAGGAGAAATAGACTCCGACCAACACATCACATGGAAGTGGAAAACCCCTGTTTGGTAGAGGAAAAAGCATCTTCCCAGAAGGACCATGTTCCACTTCCATGTTCGTGAGTCAGAGTGTATAGTTGGTTCCTCCTTCAGCTCCTGGGAATTACGACGTAACTCCCAGCTCCTTCAGCTTCTCAAATGCCGATGAACCAGCCAAGGCATTCTTCACCATCACCAAGTTCGTTGGGTTTCATTGGATGAAAATGGGTTCATCGCAGGATTCTGCTCAGTATAGGTGGGGCACCATCAAAGTTCACGCCAGCCTGAGCATTGTTTGCCATAATTTGGCTTCAGAGGTGTAGAAGTTGTTCACCAGGGTGGCAGGGAGAGTAAGTTTGAGTTGCTTGGACTTGCTTAAGGAGCCTGAAATAATGTAAAAACACAATAACACATATTCCCCCAAGGAGGATGTACCGTATATAATATATAGATCGAGAGAGAACATCATAGAAAATATATAACTCACTTTAAGCAAAACCAAGTTGAGCCTTTGTCAGGCCCTTGTCCATTCTCCTTTTTCGAGCCCATTCTCCTTCACTCCGTCTCACTCAGCCCTTCTGGGAGCCCGAAACCATCCGCGGCGTGGACAAAGCGCCGGAACCCGCCTGGGCACCGGCGAGTATACGCGACCACGCGTCGGTGACGTACGCGACGACGCGTCTGACACCCTTGGTTCGTTTCCCTCGGTTCTTCAGGTCGTCAGGTTGTTGAAGCTGAAAGACACTCACCTCTTGATGAATACGCCCTGCCAATAAAAAAACACACGCACTTGCGGACTGTCGCTCCCACGAACTCCAATTGAATTGGACATCCTCTTCATATGGGGGGTTTATTAATCAAGAGTGTCCAAATACAACCTGAAATCCAATGGGCATGTGGAAATCCAATGGCAATAGCAGTGGATCATTCACATGAGATGGGCATTCCGATTGGCATCTCTTGCACACCTGGTGCATGGCAACCGTGGAGTGAGTGAGCGACTGCGCCATCGCCACCTGTTCGACGGGGTCATCATCCCGATCTCTTCTTCGGGCATCTTCGGGCCACGAGATCCCATTCCCATCCGCTCTCCACCATGGTGGTGGTATAGCTGCCTTATCCCCATGGTGGAAGAGGAGGTCCCCAAAGAGCTATGACCGTGGCACCGGAGAAACACCATGGCACCGGTGCTGTGTCTGAACATGTGACGTATAACGTTAATCTTCATGACAGGGGGTCTAGTCTATAACGTATATAGCTAGTATAGACCCCCCGTGACGTATACGGGGGTCTATAGGACAGGGGGACTATACTCTATCCATGTGACGTATATAGCTGCTTGGGTGGTGCCTTTAGTGTGGACGACCACGCGGCTGAAGAATTCATCATGGTCGACCACGCCGAGTGGTTCTCCATCTCTGGAAGGTGAAGAAGCTCACGTCAAAACCGCTATGAAGCTCCGATTCGTTGGGAGAAGCTGGCGCTTGATCTCTACCTGGAGTCGACCTGTTCGTACTTCAGAAAATGAGTATACTACAGATCTACCTGTTTTCGTTCGGGTCCAGACTCCCATTTTCCAAGGTACCAGGGGTCCGTCGGGTCCAGAATAGCCGTCCCGGACCGACAACCGTTCCTTCGGTTAATCCATCAATAGCCTGGAAGTCAAGTCAAGACCTAGTCAAGTCAACCTGACTTAAACCATGTTTACAAAAGTTGACCTGGTTTTGTAGAGTAAAACCCTGATTTAAACCAATGGTGGTTCGACTTCTAGGGAATAGCCTCGTGTCTGAGGTGATCAGGCATGGCGTGTCATCGGGGTGTCCAGGATGGTCGAGGAAAGGGATGGACACTCTATCCAGGACCGGGGTCTGTAGAGTGATCACCAGGGGCACCCTGGCGATGGTCCTCTCTTTACCAGACTTTTGGCTTAGTGAAAGGCAGAATTGGTTCATGAAACAACGTGAAGCACTTCTGAAACGAGAACCTGCGAGTTGCGAGTATCACCAATAGCTGAATCCCGTACTCACAGCTACTGACTTGGAGGAGACCTCCTGGTGCCCATGGCGCCCACACAGCTTAGTTCACTCCGAGCCCATTTCGATCCACTGGTGTTTACCACTTCCCGTGATCATCTTCCGGTGGGGATGGTTGGGATGATCTACCCGCTTTCAGGGCTTCAGTTGACCAAATGTATCAAGCGTCTTGCCCAAACATACCCAGTGGATCCCAGTTACCACTATGTAAGGAACCAGGGATTCTAGGTCTATGGTTTAGTCTTTGGAACCACTGGTTGCCAGCATTATGGTAACTGGAAGCCCAAACATAGACTTGAACCAATCACATTCCTAGTTTTCAACGGCTCAAGCCCTACACTGTCTACACCAAACAGTACTGGCTGCGTTTCTGAAACCAGGAGGCATGTTTCACAGAGCTCATCATCGTTGGTAAATTCGCCTGGAAATAAGAAAGACAAGGCAAGGACCAAGGACTGGAAGGCCAAAACATGACCCAACCACCAGGCATATGGAATCATATGCCTTAGATATGCCTACATTGACCCCTTTGCAAACCACCCCTTCTTTGATCCGTTTTGTGGGGCAAAGATGCCAGTCCCATTAGTCGTGTCTGGGTGAGGAACAAGCCCGTCGCCAACAAATACCAGTTCCTCCACCGACATCGTCCGTCGCTGGAGTTTTGCGGTCTTCACCCCAACCTCACTGGGAATGCGAAATTCCGCCCACAGGAGAGACCTTAGGATCCATTCCCATCTTTGCGTCATCTACAAGAAAGCACTATACCTGGCCCCGATGGACCCTTCGTAGCTTTTTGAACCGTTTGGGACATGACCCTAAACCCCAACAACAGGACAACAACTGCATTAAGACTGCTAAAACATGGTAAACACTGTACCATTTGGGAGGTCCCAACATGTCCCAAGCTTGGTCATTACCTGAGGTACACCGAACCACTCCTCTGACCGCTGTACCGGGTCCGCTCCGGCCGTTTGTTCACCGGGTCCGCTCCACCGGTTCTGCCAGCGGTGCCACTTCCATAGTCCCAGACACGACGTGTCAGGTAGTGGGCACCTAGATTGGAAGTCCCAGAAATAGAACCTACGAAGCATATAGACGTATTGCCAGCTGGCATCAGCTGGCCATAGATCTATAGGAACAGACCTACTACAGCCCTTGAAATCAACCACCCCCAAGGTATGCAATTATCATTTCAGTCCCATGGAGCTCGTGTCTGGGTATTGATGGCCATGGAGTCACAAAAGGAGTCCCTAAGCATCCCTAAGTGAGTGGAGGTGATAGGGGCACCCCTAGCCTCTAAGCAACCCTTTGGAACTGCTGCAACAATCATATACCTGGACCAGACTTCAAGTACCTTAGAAAATGGGATATGACCCTAGAAAAAAAAGGTAGATCTGTACCCATTTTCTGAAGTACTTTGAGACTCCAGGTATATTCATTGTCCATTGTTTGCTCACCACTAACATTCACCCTGGAAGTCAAAGACCATCTTTAAAATGGTTGATCCCAAATTTTATGTATGTCAGGCCCCACCCACGGTCACGAAAAAGAACACCCTGGCGCACATCGGTCGTGTGCTTTTGCTGCGCCTTGCGGATCACCAGCCGCAAGCCGCTGTAGGTCATCCGGAAGCGCCGTTGGTCCTGCAGCTGAAGCGTCGGGACGCCAATGAGTCGAAGCAGATCTGGACCAAGCCGGCCACGAGGAGGTTCATTTTGGTGTGTTTTGGGGATCGGAGAAACAGCGACGTCCGTCGCGACAAAACAATGGTAGACCTGGGTTATAGTCTATAGTGTACAATCATCCTTTTGAAACAATGGTTGTTCGGGTTTCAGGCTATTAGATCAATGGTGGTTCAAATCCTTCCCGAACATCATGTTCCACTTCCATGCTGAGTCGGTGTAAATTGAAGGCACTCAGCCGGCCAACACCCATGTTCTTAAAGCCAATCTTTTGATGGCTTGAGGTGAGGGATCAATGGGATCAGTAAACATATAGTAGCTTTCTGATTGGAATTCGCTTCTCCACGTAGCTTAGATACAGTAGTGAGAGACAAATTCTTATGGACCCCATCTTGTTCAATCACCACCATGTAGGCGCCATATACCTGGGGTCGCAGTGCATACCTCAGGTGGGTACTGTTTTTTGTTCTTGTATGAACAAAGTCGGGTCCAGGTATGCCATATAATTACATGCATGATCCCTGGGATTCCAAGTACCTCCTTAGAAAGTAGGACTGGACCCTCATAAAAAAGGTCGAACACATCACCTTTCATAGGAGGGTACTAACCCACCCCAACCCACCCTAACCCAAACCCACCCTAACCATCTTCTCAGGAAGTACTTGGAGCCCTAGAGTAGATAGGGTAAAATGGTCTGCAACTCTTCCACGTCCCATGTCTTCTTGGATCGCTCCGCACCTCCTGCCCGGCGGTCTCGATCCAATCAACATTCGCCTGGCTGGGCTGGCTGCAGTTCATAGCAGGAGCCGAAGGAGAACGAGTTTTTCAAGCAGCCTTGGGGTTGAGAAAAATCCAAAAGAAACAGTTACACATTTCACATATATCATCAAATCATTTCAACTCATACAAGATCGAGGATGATTTGTTTGTACCATTGTTCTGGTGCAGGAAAAGGGTGCAAGAACACATTGACTCGGGAACACCCCTTTTGTCTGTAGATGTTCTTGCAGAACGGTGGCCAAAGATCAACATGTACAGAAGGACCAGTGTGGCAGTCACGCTTCAGTGGTTGCTCAACCCACCTCCCCATATTCAGGTCTGTAGAGTCTAAAAACACCTTCGGTCCTTTACCTCCTTGAGCAGTGTTTCTGTATCATCAACTCCAATACATTTAAAATGTTTTTGACCCTGATCCCTTAGAGTTTCCAACACACCCCCAACCAAACCCCCACCAACCTCTCACTCTAGTCAACCCACCAGGCGAGCTCCGCTCTGCGCGCTCCGCGCCGCGCTCCGCGCCGCGCTCCGCGCCTCGCAGAGCTGCGCCGCGAAGCTCCCATCGCCGAAGAGCGGCGTCCAGTAGGCGTCGAAGCCACGCGAGGCCTGAGCGACGCCACGGCGAGGCGCGGCTACCGCGCGCCACGCGACGAAGGGCACGGCGTCACGGCGAGGCGCGGCTAATCCACTCATCCACGGCATGATATAGCTGGAATGGATCCTCGGAGAATAAGAGCTGGATTATGATATGAAGAAGACCTGGTGTGGCTATACACTTACAATGCATGCACTCATGATCAATTCCTTTCAGAGTGGACATTTATTACTCGGAGCGTCCCTTGATGAGGATCACCATCTTTGCTTTATCAAATAGTGGATGATGGAAAGTTGGTCATATATTTGCCATCCCATGGCATCATGGATTCTGGATCGTTTAAAGGTGTATCGATCGTATTTATACAACCTTTACCAGACTGATTGTCCAAACTCTTTGCGATTGACTGTTTGGTAAGGATTCCACCCGATTCCAAACATGGACCCTCAAGGGCGAAGGCTTGGTGAAGGAGTCCAACCCGCTTTTTCGCGTCACCCTCAGTGGTCAAGGTCCGGTTATGGCCAGTCATGGCCAAGTGCTTCGGACCGCGTTGCGGAAGCCGCAGGGTCGGAACTGGAGCTGGAATGCCTTTTTGACCAAAAGAGGATAGAAATTGCCAGAACTGGATCTCGGGTCCCCTTTGAATGCCTTTATATCTATCCAATTTCAACACCCTCGTCTGCGATATCCGCCTTCGCTCCAAGACACATGCGAAGCCACGTCGCGTCCGACCCATCCCCAGCATCACAGAGCTCCTCCCCACGCCACGCTCCGACTGGGTCTCTGCCCGAGGCTCCAGGCATTCCGAACACCCAAGACCATGGCACCCCATCCTGGCGACCAACGAGCTCGTGAAAAAACACACGACCAACACCATGGGGGTGGACGCAAGGTATGGCCCCGCAGGGCACCTGATATACGTATTTTGTTGCTTTGTGGCCAGAAATCATGGTCAAGGGCTTGGTGAAAACAGTTGAAAAGAACAGCAAATACGGGTGCGACATCAAACAGCTTGCCGGGTGAGTGACATCCATTCACCGATCCGGTCTCCAAATGCCAATGGAGTGCCACAACCAATTCAATGATGTCCTGGGGGACTCATGGAGGGATTGATGCCAGGTACCATATTACCGCCCAAACACCGCCCAAACGGCCAACGGAGGCCAGAGAGGCGATGTTGGCCCAAGACCTGGGTGAGCGAGCCGATCACTCAAGGAGCTGTAGGTGTGTATTACATGTGGGAGGCACTCGAGATCTCGTCCCAGACTGCGAAGCTTTCTCTGGAGGTCTCCCATGGTCTCCCTATTTGAATACAGTGACTGGCGCACGTATTTGGGTGGCGCACGGACCCAGAACTTCAGTCAAACACCAAAACAACCCCTCTTTGTACTCCATGCATGGAATATATGCCTCAACTGATCGGCAAATTAAGGCAGTCCCACTTACCGATCAGGCCAGGGGTGGTTCTGCGGTGGTATGTATCGCATATTCCAGTCCCAGGGCTCGTGTTTGGGAGTTAGTATCCCTAGGGCTCCTATCTCCTCAGGAATTTTTCAGGAACCCTCCTGGCACCCACCTTAACCAGCAAACAGGAAAGGAGGTAGGCCAGCAGCCCTATAGAGTATGACTCATGGTCGAGCAGGTGTCAAATGTGGAAAGCTCTCTGAGAAGCTCCAACAAATCATTGTTCCTGCTAAGTGCACAGATTCCCACACATTCTATCTCCACTGCAGCTGCAGGATGCCTTTGCAACCAAACTTTGAAAAAAAATTTAAACCACAAACACACCGGAAGTTCCTTCGTGCCCTTGCCAACCCTTCTTTCATCACACCTCAACTGGCGCGGCGGTCCCGGGAGGCACCGAAGCTCTCGGTCCGAATCTCCGAACGTCCGAAACGTCCACCCCGCGCGCTCCGTCCGGACCGTCGTCTGGAGCTCCGTTCCCGGAACGGTCTGGGGCCCTCCGCGGAGATGGCATGGTTGAAGCCTTCCATTTGCGTCGACAGCACCTGCCGCGCCCATCTCGCTGGATCGGAAGGGTCCCGGTCTCGAAGATCTAGGACCGAACCTGAGAGGCTCCGAAGACGAAGGAGACCCTCTATACCGTTTTTCAGGCACAAAAGACTGCCATAAGGAGGCCCTGACGCTCCCAGGAAGCCGAGAAAAACCAGAAAAGCCAGCGGATTTCGGGAACATCAACAATCACCTTGAGCAAAGCCGGGACAGGTAACTTTAAAGAAAGTGATCAATGTAAAGACCACAAGTGGCTGCGGAAAAATAGGGTGCTCCTGAATCCACGGGTCAACAAAAACGGCAACAAAATGCCATAGTAGGTTCCGCAATCGATTTTGAGCTACATCCAGTTTGGTCTTTCTTGGTGGTAGAAATGGAGCGAACCAAAACTTACAGGAAGTGTTGTGCTATGCCAATTTCAGAAAAGGCAGTTTGCTCAGAAGCGCTTTGACAATTCCATCATTAACATTACCTGTAGCACTCATTGCTTTCAAAGAACCGAAGGATATGATGATCAACTCATGATAAACCCTAATTATGATGACGCGGATAAAGATGAGTGGCGGACGAGTAGAGGAATGATTTGTCAATATGAGTTCCACAAAAACACCCCCAACGAAGAAGGAGTCTTTGGGTATTGCTTGACAATCCCTGCGTTTTGGAGTCTTTGCCGCAGAGTTTTGGTGTCAACCAGGGACCCTTCCGAGACCCATACACGGGATCAGCCATGCGGCACGGACCCCCTTTTTCTCGCACATGGCCTGGCCAGTTCAATCGACGTTGCTTGGCAGTTCAAGCGGCTAATTGAGGCTATTATAAGGCTACCGAACCAACTGAGAACGGACTGAGCTACTAAGTCCTCCATTTTTGCCAAACCCTTTCGAGGCCATGCCTTCTGGGTCAGTGCATGCCTTAACTGAGTGCCCGTCTAAAACACGAGGTTCGATACATGTTTTTTCCAGCCAAGGTGAAGTTCAAGGTTCACCCTAGGATTCCAACCTCCATAAGTTTTAATGGTCTTTACTAAAGAACCCTTGTTTTACCAAGGATTTTATACTACAAAATCAGATCAACCATCTTAGAGATGGTCCATGGTCTTTGACTTCCAGGGTGAATGTTAGTGGTAAGCAAACAATGGACAATGAACAGCTCAGCCAGAGCTCCAACTACCTCCTACCACCTGAGGATATGGGCCAGGAGCCTTAGAGATATAATGGTCTTTGAAGGCTAGGGCGGCTAGGGTTCACCTAAATCAAGTTGTCTGTAGATCCAAAAGGTTCCGACCCGCATGGTTGGTAGATCTGGACCGGATGTCAAACACCTTCGGTGGACCGACCGATCGCTTCCGTGCCGTGGGAGGTCCCTCCCGAAGCCACGGAAGTGGAACCTTTGGAGGTGCGTGCGAAATCGCCAAAGAAGACCTGAGCTTCACCTCTTTTTGAGCATGTTTTCCCTCTGCTAGGACATGCATTGCATGTTTCGCCCAGATCGCCCGCCGTCTCAAGAACACTGAGTCACCTCCAAACAACATTGGACGCTGTCCTGGCTCAACTTGCGAATCATGAAGCATCAAACAGCTATGTCGAGTCCAAATGACTTTGACCACCTCCGGACATTTGCGGATTTCGGCCACGGTGGAAATGCAAGGAGGCCCAAGGCCAAAGGCCCATAAAACTGTACTTGTAGTTGGGAGTAGCTTCCTTTCATGTCCTTTTGCAACTTCCGTTCAAAAGAAAAAGCATGCTGGTTAGGGTGATATCTGATGAGCATCCTTCCCCTGTCAAATATGCTCATGAGGCTAAACCTTCATGGCAGCAGCATCCTTGACATCAAAGGACTGCTTTCAACCTTCAGGGGGTTTCTGCTTTGGTCTCGTTCAGGATGGCGGAGAAGGCCACGTTCAGCCGCTCACTTCCCAAACGTTTGCCCCACCTTGGGATGTGGTGAAAAACCCGAGCGCGGCCAACCCGGCGGAGGCGAGGTCCGGACCCCGCAAGGGCGGCTCCATGCGGATGGCGGAGCGCTCGGTGCGGACGGCTCAAAACCATGGGACCCATGGGACTGCCAGTCCGGACTGCCGATCCATGGGGTGGTGCCAGGGTTCTTTGGTAAAAACAAGGTGGTGCCACATATACCCAGACGCGACCTGTCTGGCAGTCCGGACTGCCGAGTGGTGCGGCCAGGGGTGGTGGTGCCAGGGGGGTGAATGGGGTGGCATATGTTCCAGTCCCATGGAGTGTATGGGATATGGTGATTTATCCCAAAATGGGAAAACACACATCACCCCAAGCAAAACCAGGAGAAGCATCCTTTTTGTATAATGATGGGAGATCAATTCCGTTGAGGTTTCCCAAGAACTTGTGACCCTGATTGGAAACTCTGTTCACACCTAAACCTTTGCACTGTGGCAGGGTTAAACAATGGCAAGGCATACACTGGCAGTCCTGATTCTGTCCATATCCACAAAAAAGTGGGAAGCTTCACAGAGAATTGCCCTCGTCTTCACAGTTTTACTGCAGCTTTACAAACACCATCCACCGAACCACTTCTGATCTTCCCTGCAAAACTGGGCCGATTGGCCGACCAGCTGGCAACTGGGCACATGTGCCCCGCAAGTTTCGTGGAGGAAAGCACCCCCAAATTCCAAGTTCTTACGTAACCATCATCATGACTTGGCTTTGCTTAAGGAGCTGGTAAAACAATAAAAACAAATTCTCCATGCCAGGGGATTAACAACTGGAGTCAAACACTCCATGGGACTGGCATATTTACATACATTGGGGTGGTTGATTTCAGGGGTCAATGTAGGAAAAACAACTCTACATGGAGTGTCTGGGTACTTGACCATCATGAAGACCGTAGCACGTTGAGGTCCACAAGCATGGATGAAAAGGTCTTCACAATGGGGGTGAGTTGTTCACCATGGAAACGCCCCGCTCTAACAAGCTTCCCTGCTCGGTCGACCGTGAACCGAAGGTGTCGACTCACAACTCCACAGGTTTTGCGACTCCGTGGACTCCACCGGTGTAGGCCCCAGTCAGCCTTCAACTTCAGTTCGACCATTGAACAAAATGGGACAAACCCGGTGTTGTAGTGCAAAATTCTCAGTAAAACAAGGGTTGTTCGGGATTCATATGGATTCATGCTGTGAACTCACTTGTGCTTCGATTCCCACCGTCCAGTCAAATCCTATAGATCTTCAACCAGTCCTACCACAGTGTCCATCCACCGTCCGTAGTCTTCACCCCACGCACCACGTTTTGCTCCGCATCTTCCTCGCTCTGAGCTGTGGGTTTGCCTGAGCCGTGAGTTTGCAGGTGGTTAGTCGTGTGAAATCATGGAAAAGAGCCGAACATCATATGATGTGTTTTTTCTTTGAACAATAGACACCCACTCTCCCCATTGGCAAAGAAGCTGCTGCTTTGCGTACTAAAAAGACTCTGAATTACAAACATATCCCAATGTATGACATATTATACTGTACCAGCAGTCACAAAGGGGTGCGATCCATGGAGGTAGTCGGAGTGCCGAACGTCACATCCACTCACGTAAGGAGACGTTTCACACCACCCCGACATGACATGTGACTCCTGGGATATACACCTACCATGGACCCCTGAAATCAACCTATGCCTATGCCAGTCCCATGAACCAAACATGGCCTGCTTGACTGGTGGGATATAACGTGCGCTTCGTGTCAGCGAGCCAGATTCGCATGTTTCTGTCATCTTTCGTATGTACTTGGTCAGTGGCAAACTAAAGAGAGTAGATTACACATATTTACAAATGATTAGATGCGAGTGAGTGATACAATCTTGATATGTCTCAATAGTTTAAACATTCAATCAAATCAAAAATGCTATTTTCATATATATATATATTTCTTGCACTGCCGAGTCAGTCATTCGACATGTCATTGCATGTTCTGTTCAGAGGAGATCTCAAGGCTGAGCCACTACAGCCACGCTTCTCAACACCTCGGAGACCTTGACTAAAGAAAAACAACGCATGTCACCTGTCAAACGTCATATCATAATTTCATATTTCATCTCACTTTTCCTCAGCCCCAACCACCTCACCCAACCCTCCCAAACCCCTCCGACTCTCCACCCAGACCGGGCCCGGCGACTGAACTTCCGCCGCTCCGCCAGGCGCGACTTGGGCGACGCCAGCTGCAGTAGTTGCCGCGCCGCCATCGCTTTGGGCTTCGGCGCCAGATCTGTGGAGAGGTCGGTCGACCAGTCGCTCTCCGTGGGCATGGAGGGCATGCTGCCTGGCGCTGCGGCGCAGGGGCGCGGTCAGGGACCAGCTTATTGTGGAGCTACCGGAACAGGTCTGGCTACATGATGCCATAGGGGCATGATGCCTGCCCATTGAGGCCGGTTTGTGGATCATCTACTCAACACTCTTCACATGCTGAAAGCCATGCTTTGGTGAAATGCAACTTCTGCAGATCTAGAGTTCAAGCTCTATAGATTCTAGATGGATTCACTGCATGGGCATGGTAAGTTGACTCGTTCCCGTGCTTTTCCGTGTAGTTCACACGACGCCTCACAACTCGCACACCAGCCCGGGTGCCCCAAATCCACCGCCAGGTGGCCACCCAGCCGTGGTAAACAAAAGCCAGTTTCTTCCGGGCTTGTGTCCACTGTATTTCACAGTGCTGGTCAACTATATAGACCATAAAAGTACCTGAACCCAAACCCATCATGATGACACGAAAACACAACTTCGTTTCGTCCGGAAAATCGTCCATGAGGGTGCGAAGGGACCTTAGTACTATCCCTCTACCAGGACCTTCCAAGACAGAGGTGTCTATAAATTCTTAGTGCATGGTTAAGGGGTGTCCAGAAACCACCGGACTTGGAAGGTGCTGGTAGGTCGGGATTTTCGTGGCACCGCACCTACATCAACTCGCGACGACTGGATCCTCACTTCGCCTACATGAACTCTGTGTGCTCCACACGACGGGACCGTACAACAACGGGTGGCAGTG